ATGTCCTCCACAGTATGGCCCCTGAGCACTGCTGGGAAGGATATCAGTGTGTGAGATCAGGGGACTAGGGTCCCCCACCCTTTGGGGGTGCTTGGTGTTTCTGTAGTCTGAGCCACTGGATATAGACTTCAAGTGAGAGAGCCTGGTTGTGGGCCCCAGGGGTCCATTCATGAGACTGCTGAACATTTGCCTAGAGCATCCCTGAGTGAAATCTTCCTGCCTCCCAGAACCCCCTGCTCCCCAGGCTGAGTACCAGGGTCCGTCAACAGCTGGCCATGAGCTCAGGGACCCCAGTGGTACCATCCTCTATGCCTCTCCCAGGCAGCAGTGGGTTCTCTCCTTTCCATCCCTGGGCGGTTAGGCAGAATAGTAAGGCAGCAAGGCAGTAGCTGGGTGCCAGGGGGCATGTCCTGGGGACCTGAGAGAGCAGACTGGGAGCACCTCAGCTTGGGGAGGTGTGTGAACAGCCACTGAGTCAAGCAGGAACCCTACTGACTGCACAATGAAATGAGTTGAGCTCGAGGTTTATTTCCAATCCAGGGCACCTGTCACTGTCACTGTCCTCCCTTGTTCATCGATTTGCTTGAGCGGACCCAGTAACATTGTGAGACTTGTTACTGTGTTTGGCATATCGAATACATCGCGGGTAGCTTGCCAGGCTTTGCCATGCGGGTGAGATACTCTTGGTAGCTTGTCGGGCTCTCCTAGAGGGGCAGAGGAATCAAACTCGGGTTGGCCTTGTCGGCTGCGTGCAAAGCAAACACCCTACCCATTATGCTATCAGCAGGGCACCTGCTTTGGAAAAACTCATTTCCAGGAGCCAGAGTGATAGCACAGCTAGTAGAGAGCTAATCTTGCATGTGGCTGACCCCAGTTCCATCCCCAGCACCCCATGCAGTACCTTGAGCCTTCAGGAGTGATCCTGAGTACAGAACCAGGAGTTAGTCCTGAGCACAACTGAATGTGGTCCGCAAACAAAACTAATTTCTGCTAACTTATTATTATTATTGTTATTATATTTTGCTTTTTGGGTCAGACCCAGTGATTCTCAGTGGTTACCCCTGGCTCTGCACTCAAGGGTCACTCCTGATGGATCACTCCTGAGGGTCCTCGGGGGACCATATGAGATGCTGGGGATCGAACCTGGGTCAGCCGCGTGCAAGGCAAACATCCTCCCTGCTGTCCTATTGCTCTGGCCCCTCTGCTAACTTATTTTTACAAAGGTAAACAATTATATGTTTTTCGTTTGTTCGTTTTTGTTTTTGGGCCACAACCAGCCATACTGGCGTTACTCGTGGCTCTGCACTCAGGGATCACTCCAGGTGGGACAGGGGAACCATTTGGGGTGCTGGGGAACCTGGTTGGGCATGTGCATAGCAAGATTCCAATGGCGTGAAGAGTCTGACACATTCTCCTCCTGGCGGAAAGCGGGTGGGAGGTTCCAGCCCTCGCAGCGAGCCTCGTGCCCTCTGACTTCTCATGTCAGGAAGGACACGCGGGGACGCGGGTGGGCTTCCTCCTGTGGTTGCATCCATTTCTCTTCCCACCTGTGCCCCTGCAGCCCAGAGTGGCCACTCCACCAGTAACTCGCGCCGGGTGGTTGTTATTCTTCTTCGTGGTTTGTCATTTTTATTAGATGTGTGAGTCACTTGGTGCTGAGGCGCCGTCCTCACTAGCTCTCCTCAGCTTTGGGGATTCACAAATGTTCGGAAGTGCAGCTGGAAGCTGGAGACGTGGCGTAAGTGGTGGGACAAGGGCCCGTGTGGGGGAGGCTCTGGGCTCAGCCCTGGCATTGCATGGTCCCTGAACATCCCCAGAAGCGGCCCTTGCTCCCCTCAGCCCCTGCACTAACAACATTTACAAGCAGAGCCCAGGACGTGATTCAGGGACAGCTCACAGGCTTTCCGTGGGTGAGGGCCGAGGTTCGATCCCCAACATTGCCAGGAAAAACTGACCTTGTTTTAGGCCCATGGATGTAGCTCAGCTGTAGAGCACTTTCCTGGCAAGTCTCAGGGCCTGGGTTCGACCCCCAAGTCAGTCCGGAAGAAATTAGTTTATAAATACTAGTTTGTGGATTAGCGAGGAAGTGTAGCAGAGTGCTTGCCTTGCCTGCAGCCAACTGGATTCGATTCCTGGCACCACACACAGTTCCCTGAATCCACCAGGACTAAGTCCTGAGCACTGCTGACTGTGGGCCTCCCACACCGTCCCCCCCCAACCAAAAAAAAAAAAAAAGAACTTCGTTGGAACTGTAAAGGACCTTCCCTCAGTGTGGAGGCACATAGCGCCCTCACCTCTGCCTTTAGCCCTACAGCTCACCTTCAACCCTGAGCCCCACCTTTGGCCCTGCACCCTACCTTCATTCCTGCATCTGCTGAACGTGTCAGATCTTTGCCAGCCATTCTCTCCATGGTGGGGCAGGGGACTAGACTCCCAAGCAGTGCTCAGAGCCACTCCCGGGGATTCTCTGTTGATCTGAACTGTGGTTCGGTGTGGGGGGGTCCCTGGATGAGGGACTGTGTGCCAGGGACCAGCAGGATCACCTGGCTAGTGCTTCGGGACCTCCAGGGTCACACCTGGAAATGCTCAGGGGGTCACGTGGTACCAGAGATCCAACCTGGGTCAGACACGTGCAGGATGGAGCTCTAGTCCCTGCATTTTCTCCCCAGCCTCCCATTTTCCAATTTCGTTACTTTTACTACAGACATTTTCAACACAGCAGGAAGAACAAATGATTCCCAGTGGTAATTAAGTTTCTGCTCTTGCTACTGAGAAACCTCAAAGAAGACTTCAAAACATTTCTCATTAAGTTGAAAGTGATCTGGGAACGGGTGGGATAGAGGATGGTGGGAGAGCAAAGAGGGAGAGGCTGCATGCCCCTTTGATGGTCACACGCTGCCTGGGTAGCTTCGTAGCCATTGTCTCACCCAATCTCCAGGCTAAGCTAGGCTTGCAGGGAGGGTCCATTGAAAAAGATGAACTGAGGGCCCGAGGAATGGGCAGGGAGGGTCCAGCAGGAAGGGAGGCATTTGCCTTGCAAGCAACCAATGTGAGTTTGATCCTTGGTACCACATATAGTCCCTCAAGTCCTTCAGGAGGGACTCCTAAATGCAGAGCCAGGAGTAAGTGTGGAGTGACCACCCTCCCCCCGAGATCGCTTTCTTTTCCAGATGTGCCCCTGTGTTTCTTCTTAGGAGGGTTATATCACTTTGTGATTGAAAGTAAAAATTTTAGGGGTCAGAGCAATAGTATAGCAGGTTGGGTACTTGTCTTACACGTGGCCAATCTAGATTCAATCCCTGGGACCACATACAGTCCCCTGAGCTCAACTAGGAGTCATCCCTGAGAACCACCAAGAAAGAAAGAAAAAGGGAAAAGAAAAGTACAGGGCTGGGGCTGGAGTGATAGCACGGTAGGTAGGACGTTTGCCTTGCATGCGGCCAACGCAGATTCGATTCCCAGCCTCCCATATGGTTCCCTGAGCACTGCCAGGGGTAATCCCTGAGTGTAGAGCCAGGTGTAACCCCTGTGCATCGCCGGTGTGACCCAAAAAAGAAAAAAAAGTACAAGGCCAGGGAGATAGTACAGCAAGTAGGGTGCTTGCCTTGCATGCAGCAGACCTGGGTTTGATCCCCAGCATTCCATATGGCTCCCCTGAGCCCACCTGGAGTGATCCCTGAACATAGAGGCTAAAGTAAGACATCACTGGCTGTACCCCCCCATATAAAAAAAAAGTCAAAGTAGCAGGGCTGGAGTGATATTATAGGAATGAAAGCACATGCCTTCCACACAGCTGAGTTAGGTTCGATCCATGTCCTCATTGGGTAAATTGAGCATGGCTGGGTACAGCCCTGAGGCTCCCACACAATGCCAGGGGTGATGTCCATATGATGCCCTGCACTTCAGGGCACAAGCAGCACCGCTTCCTCTAGCTTTGAACCACTGGCCCAGTTGGCGAGAATTGCTGGAAGGGGTCTTTTAGCCTCCTGAATACTGCTTGTAAAAAAAAAGAGAGAAAAAGAAAAAGAATAAGAAAGAGCATCTTGACCAGTTACTAGGCACATCCCCCAAGTATGGCTATTGGCTGGGCAAACTTTTTCATTAGATCAACACATCCGATGATACTCAGGGTTGACTTCTGCCTTTGCACTCAGGGATCACTCCTGGTGGGGCTCAGAGAACCATATGGGATGCTGGGGATTGAAGGATCAAACACCGGTCAGTTGCATGCAGGCAAGTACCCTCCCCGCTATATTATAAGTTCTTGGTTTCTCTAACCCTTGGTTTCCTCATCTCTAAAGTGAAAGAGGTTAGGGAAGTGGCTGGTTGGTGTCATGTATATAGAAGTCCTGCATTTTGTTCCCCAACATCAAAGAAAAACAATAAAGTAATAAAACAGGTGCTGGGTAAGAGAGAGCATAGCAGGAAAAGTGATTACCTTGAGGTGACTGGTCCAGGTTCAATCCCTGGTACTGTATATGGTCCCCTGAGCCCTCTATGAGTGATCCCTGAGCACACAGTCAGGAGTCACCCCTAAGCAATACTGGGTGTGACCCAAAACCCAAAATAAGATAAAAGAAAGTAGGGGTGATAGTAACCTACTGTTGTGGTGTCATCACTGTTGTTGCTTCAGCCTTGATGCCCCCTGCTGGTTCTTTCTTTCTTTTTTTCCCCCCCTATCGCAGTGCTTAGGGCTTACTTCTGGCTCTGTGCTCAGGGATCAGTCCTGGCAGGATCAAGGAACCATATGGGTTGTCAAGAATTGAACCCCCCCCCCCCCCCTTGGATGCCTGCAATGGAAGTGTCCTACCAACCTACTACAACTCTGCTGCCCCCTGCTGGCTCTTACGAGCAATGGGCTTTCTATTCATCACCTCTGGCTGTCACTGTCACTGTCACTGTCATCCCGTTGTTCATGGATAGTAAAAAGGTCGCTCTCAGGTCCTGCTGTACAGCATTCTAGCCTATGGTGTCTTTCTCATGTGTCTCTCTCCCTCTAGGTAATTGTAAGGATGTGGCATGACTTGATATAGAGTATTTTCTACTCCAGACTGGGATTCAAGTCTCCTTCTTCCAAACCTTATGGGGGGGGGGTGGCGTCTGGAGGTATCTGCCTCACTGTCCCCATGACTCCTATGTGAACAGTCTTGAAGGCAGCGGGCTGACTTAACGGACCTCACCTCATGGTGCCACCGAGTCCCCTGGTTGGCATGTCACTCTGGTGCAACAGCAAACACAAGCCATGAGCCACAGAGTCAGTTTCAATTGACAAAATTGTAATAAAGCAAGATCACTGATCAACCGTTTCCTTTCCTTTTTTTTGTGGGGGGGGGCGCTTTTTGGGTTCCACCCAGTGATGCTCAGGGGTTACTCCTGGCTTTGCACTGAGGAATAATCACTCCTGGTTGTGCTCAGGGACCATATGGAATGCCCGGGATCGAACAGGGGTGGGCCGGGTACAAGGCAAAAACCCTCCCCGCTGAGCTCCGCCCCCCTCACCCCACCGTTTCTTTTTTCTTGGCTCTGCCTCGGTTGGACATTGCGCCTCACTTTCAGACTCTGTTACCAGTTTCACCACTGGACAGTGTCATCTTTGTCATCGGGAGTCAGTGAGCCCTGCAGAAAACCTTTCAGGAAGTGCATCTCGGCGCTGGCGCCGGGAGCCTGCAACGTTTTCGGGGCTTTTTGCAGTGTAGGACCCGCAAGTCTGTCAACTTCAACCCCGCAGAATCTGCAGAGATGCTCATGCGCACAGAGGACGTTCTTCATTCTACACGGAGTGAGGTTAGGGTCAGGGCTCACTGGCGTGCAGGACACCCCCCGCAGACGCTGGCCGGGCTTCTGGGCGGTCCCTCTCGCACCCTTCCAGGCAGAAGGGCCCGGTAGCCAGCAGTGTGGCTTTGGGACCGCTTTCTTTCCACGCTCTCGCCTCTAAGGCAAGGGTCAGCCTGGTGCAACAACAAGCACAGGCCGAGAGCTTTGCAGGCACATTTCAGCGTTCCCGGGCCGCAGAAGCGCCACCTCTAAGGCGCCCTGAGGAGTCCAGCGGACGCCTCTTGTCCTGAGACGCGACCCGGGAAGGTTTCCCCGCGCTGGACGCCCGCTGAAGTCGCAGCACAGTCTCTCCCCCGCCAGGTTCCACGGCCGCGCGGGCCTGAGCAGCGGCCGCCGGCCCGCCGGCAGCCCCGGCCCCGCTCCGCCCTCCGGGGGCGGTCTCGACGCCCCCCGCCTCCCCTCCAGGGCTGCCCCCGGCGGGTCTGTCGCATCCTGGTCCACGTACCTAGTCGGTAAATTCCTGCAGCACTTCGGCCAATCGGAGGCAGGAGGCGGTGACTTTATCCAATCGCATTCCTCCAACAACCATTGACAGGTGGAGCAGCCAATAGCACCCCAAGAAGAAACAGGGAGGGCGGGGAAAGGAGAAGGGCTGTGGCCACAAGACCCCACCCTCCCGCTGAGAAGTGGAGGTTCTGGGCATGCGTGAAGGGGGCTTTAGGGCACAGCCGGGACCTTCCATGGGTGTGTCCAGCCATTCATGCTTGGCGTGAACGCAAACCACTCACCCACTCTGTGAGTATTTAATTAAAAACTAGACAGACCCGTTCTGGAGAGACACTGTAGCGGGTCCAGCAACAAGGATGCTTGCCTTGTACACGACTGACCCAGGCTCCATCTCCCGCACCCCGAGCCCCGCCAGGAGTGATCCCTGAGCACCGCAGGATGTGGTCCCAAACCCAAAACAAGAAAAGCAGAAAAGCGAAACATATCACACTGATCCACTTATACAAGCACTAAAAATACTGATGTTAATTTAAAAAAAAAATTGGGGTCACACCTTGACAATGCTCAGGGGTTACCTGGCTCTGCACTCAGGAATTACTCCTGGCAGTGCTCAGGGATCATGCCTGGCAGGGCTTATGGTATGTCAAAGACCGATACCTGGGTTTTGGCTGTGTGAAAGGCAAATGCCCTATCTACTGTGCTACTACCCCCGTCCCTAAACTTTATAATATGTATTATATACAGATTGCTCAGCTGAGGGAGGGTGCCAGGGTCACTGTGTACGATACAGATTAGTAAAGGTTTTTAGTTTATTTTTTTAATTTTGTCTTAGTGGGTCACATCCAAGCTGCTTAGGGCTTACTCCTGGCTCTGTGCTTAGGGATCACTCCTCCCTGTGTTTGGAGCACTCCATGGGATGCTGGCAATGGAGACTCGGTCCAACCAGAGATGGTCATGAACAAGCCAAATGCCCTAACTCCTCAGCTGTTTCTCCAGCCCCAGGTCAGTAAAATTTAATAATGATCTGTGTTGTTGTAAAGGCTAAGCATGGGTCGCACTTCCCTCTGTACCCTTGATCTGCTCGTATTCTCCCAAAGGTTTGAAGATTCTGCCTTAGAACCCTTCCTGGGTTGTCTGCAAAGGAGGAGCAGAGCAAAGGTGGAGCCAGGCTTTGGAGAAAAGCTGCCTGGCTGCCAAACTGCCATCTCTGCCTTGTATTTGCCGAATGGAATCAGGCAAGCCTTCCGCCTCTCTATGCGATTGATCTATTTTTGGTTGCTGTTTGAGCCACACCTGGCAGTGTTCAGGGCTTACTCCTGGCTCTGCAGTCAGGGATCACGCTGACAGGTTCAGGGGGCCCTATGGGGAGTCAGGACTGAGCCTGTATCAGCCGTTTGCAGGCAAGCAATCTCTCCAGTTCCCACAATTATCTTTTTTATTTTATTTTATTTGCTTTTTGGGTCACACCCGGTGATGCTCAGGGGTTACTCCTGGCTCTGCACTCAGGAGTTACTCCTGGTGGTGCTTGGGGAACCATATGGGATGCTGGGGATTGAACTGGGTTGGCCGTGGGCAAGGCGAATGCCCTTCCCACTGTGTTATCACTTCAGCCCCAGAGAATGATTCTTAAAGGGATAACATCCAAGCGGAGTCCTGAGGCTGTGGGATTCCCTAGCACAGGAGGTTGGGGGGAGTGTGTGTGTGTGTGTATGTGTGTGTGTATGTGTGTGTGTGTGTGTGTGTGTGTGTGAGATTTATCCCAGACAGAGGGATCAGCAAACACCAAGTATGAATGTAAAAGAAAGCGCCTCGCTGGGAGGTGAGGGCACAGGTCAGATCCTACTTGGAAAATACGAAGGAGCCTGACTGAGCCTCGGGGCTGGGCTAAAGAAACGGTTTTCTCCCCAAGGAGAGAAAAGAAAATCCCCAGGAGTGGTCCAGACCAGGGGCAGGGCACAGAGGCTGGGGGAAAGGTTTGTGCACTGTGGCTCTAAGCCTGCCTACATGCCCCCTCCCCCTCGGGGACCCCCATTGCCTTATTATTCTCCCAGCATCTTCAGTGGCACCCCTGGGCCCTCTGCAGTTGGGTGTGGCACCCTTCTGGCCCTTGTGTCCACCTACTCCTAGAGGAAAATCTGTGTGTCCGGCCCCTTTGCTGGCCTACTCGCTTTCTACACTCAGCCTACAGCTCTCCAAGGTCCCAGACAAGGGGCAGAAAGTCTTCATTTGCTTTGTTGGTGGGAACAGGCAGTAAACAAGGGGTCCACTGGGGCCCACCCCCTAACCCCCAGAGATAGTATGGCCAGTAAGGCACATGCAGCTGACCAGTGTTTATTCCAGCACCCCGTTGGGTCCCTGCCTGGAATAATCCCTGAGCACAGAGCCTGGAGGAAGTTTTGAGCACCTCTAGGTGCAGCAGCTCCTATGAAAAAGATCCATTAGCAAGTTGACTTACAAGTACCCCTACGTTTCCCTTTGGTGCTTTCCTCTGTCTTTTCAAAATCGAATTGAATTGAATTTTTATTTTTTTGACTTTTTGGCTCACACCCAGGGGTCACTGCTGGCTCTGCACTCAGTAATCACTCCTGGTGGTGCTTGGGGGACCCTCTTATGGAAAGCTGGAGATTGAACCCAGGTCAGCAGCACGCAAGGCCAGTGCCTGAGCTGCTGTACTATCTCTGGCGCCAGTTTCCTTTGTCTGGACTTATCCTAGGATCTCAGGTCCTGCCTTCGGCGTGACATGCTCCTCTGGGATCAGACCAAAAGACTCAACTGCAGCTGTCTTACCCTATTTAAAATTTTAGAATACCTGGAGCATGCAGCCACATTTGCAGCCATGTGACATCTCATACTCTACACCACTGATATACCAGGAGTAGCACACCACATTGCATGGGATGTAAAGTAGAACATTAGCACACAAGGCTCAACCTGTAACAACATGTTAGTCGTCTCTTATACAAGGGCTTAATGGCTCCAAAATGAGATACAGCAATCTTCACACCCTTTCTTGTAAGGAAAACTTTTTTGATCATTTTTAGTGAATTAATCATAACAAGCAATTCAAAAGAAATTATTTAAGGCCTGCTATTGGGGCAGGCCTGGGTGGCGGAGGGGAACATTTGAAATAATGATGGTCGGAAGGTGTAATAGTGATGGGATTGGTGTTAGAATGTTGAATGTAATAAATTTTTGTGAACAACTTTATAAACATAAAATTAAATTTTAAGGGGCTGGAGCGATAGCACAGCAAGTAGGGCGTTTGCCTTGCACACAACCAACCTGGGTTCTATCCCAGCATCCCATATGGTCCCCCGAGCACCGCCAGGAGTAATTCCTGAGTGACGAGCCAGGAGTAACCCCTGTGCATCACTGGGTGTGACCCAAAAAGCAAAATATATATATAAATAAATTTTTAAAAAGGTTTTAGAAGTGTTGAAGAGCTGACTACCTTGGCACTGGCACTTACCACCAGTGGCACGGGCTCAGATGTCTTATGGTTGGTGCATACCACAGGTGTCCGCACTCAGATGTCGCATGGCTGGTGTGTGTACCACCGGTGGTCCACACTTGGGTGTCTGTTGGACAATCTCACTAACATCAAAGGTTATTGTTGTGAAAATTTCCTCTTACACTGTTTTTAATTTTTAAATTTGTTTTTGGGGCCACACCAGCAGAGTCGAGGACTTACGCTTGGCTCTGTGCTTAGAGATAACTCTTGGCAGTCTTTAGGGAACCCAGGGGGGTGCTGGGGATCAAACCTATAGCAGGTGGAGTACTCGCATGCAAGGCAATACCCAACCCGCTAGACTATCATTCTGGGGAAGTCCCTGGCAGCTCAGGCTCTGCTTTGAATCAAAAGCAGCCTGGTCATCCCAGGATCACCACTGGGGCCTCTGGTCTCCTGAGGCCTCTCCACATACAAGACAGTGTCGCTGCGGCCAGAGACATAGTACAGCAGGTAGGGCATTTGCCTTGCACATGGCCCAACCAGGTTCCATCTTCGGCATCCCATATGGCTCCCTGAGCACTCCCAGCAGTAATTCCTGAGAGCAGTGCCAGAAATAACCCCTGAGCATCTCCAGGTGTGGCCCAAGAACAAACACAACTAAACAAAAGATGTCATCTAAGCTTTAGGTGGGGGCACGGATGGCTTGTGTCTGTGTTCACGCCAGCAGGAGCGCTCCTGTTCTTTCCCTTCAGAAGATGTGGCGACAAGACGGGTTCCTCAGAAGCCTTGGAGAGATGGGACGGTGGCTATGACTGGCCTTGCTTGCAGCCAAGCCTAGCAATTCAATTCTAGCATCCCATAAGTTTCCCCGAGCCCTGCCAGGAGTGATCCCCGAGTGCAGAGCCAGGACTCAGCCCTGAGCACTGCCAGATGTGCTTTAAAAAAAAAATACAGAAAGGAGGGGTTGGAGCAATAGCACAGCGCGTAGGGCATTTGCCTTGCACGCGGCCAACCCACGTTCAATTCCCAGAATCCCATAGGGTCCACTGAGCACTTCCAGGAGTAATTCCTGAGTGCAGAGCCAGGAGTAACCCCTGGACAACGCCAGATGTGACTCTAAAAGCAAAAAAAAAAAAAAAACAACAACCAAACAGAAAAAAACAGAAAGAAGGGAGTAAGGTAGAAAAGAGAGAAAAGGAGTTTCACGAGTCTGCAACTGTCTGGCCCTCAGACTCAGCCTGTCCCCGTAGGCCTCCCCTGTTTTCTTGCAGACCAGAGGGGCAGCTGCTCCCAGGACACCTAGGGACCCAGAGCTGCAGCCCCTGGTCCCTAGAGGGCGTCACTTCCCTTCTGCACCGTTTCATCTTGCCTCAAACAGCAGCTCTGGTCTTCCCTGGCACTCCAGGGCCTCTAAGCATTTCAGCGGCTATGTCCTTGTTGTCTCATTAAAAAAAAAAAAAAGAGGCGGGGGTGGGGGGGTGGGGGGAGGAGGGGCGGCGGAGCGGTAGGACAGTGGGAGGGCTCTTTCTGCGAACGAGGTCGATGGACCCACAGGTTCCATAACTGGCACCCCATATGGGCCCTCGAGTCCACCAGGAGTGAGTGAGTCCTGAATGTAGAGCCAGGAGGAACCCCAAGCACCGCTGGGTGTGGCCCAAATAACAAACAGGGGGAAAAAAAAAGGAAAAGGAACTTCCGGAGCTCGCCAGGCCTTGAGTTGCAACCAGTAAGGCCCAGGGCCACACTCTCCTGCATTCCAGGAATCAAGGCCCTGGGTCACACTCTCCTGCGTTCCAGGAACCACCGCTCCCACAGTGGGGCCGCGTCCCTTCACCCTGACTGTCTCAGCGTCTGAGCTTCCTCTGGCCGTGGGGCACAGCATCTCCCCCAAGTTGGGGTTCGGTACGGCCGACCCCTCCACCCCACTCCACTGGGCATGGTGTGGCTGTCTGCGGTGCGGGTGCGGCGTGCCTGGCGCTCTCCCGGCGGGGTCTTCTTCAGGGGGTTCTCTAGTCTACAGGGAGCTAGGGCAGGGGCTGGGCGGGTTTGGTGGGAGCCCAAACACCCCGCGCCTTGGAGTGGGGGCGGGGGGGTGTCGCTTAATTCCGTTTCTTCTTACCCGGCGCGGGGTAGGGACGCCCGGGCGTGCAACAAGCTTGCATTTGCGGAAACAATGTAGCCCCTCTCCCCCGCCCCCCAGCACTCGTCCCACCCGGGCACAGTGGATCCCCCTCTGCGGGTGAGGAGCGCTGCACCGAGACCGGCTCTCCCAGCCCCCCTTCCCCACCCTGCCTCCGCCCCCCTCCCCGCCCCCCTCCTCCAGGCCTTCTCCCCGCCCTACGTGCCGGGGGGGGGACGCTTCTCTTCTCAGCTTCCACGCGTCCGGCGGGCTCTCCCCCCCGCGTCCCACCCCCGCCCCAGTGCCCCCGTCCAGCCCCGCGTGGGTGCGGGGCGCGTCTCGGTCCCTCCCCCCGCCGCGGGCCCGAGCGGCGGGGGCGGCGGGGGCTGCAGTTCCGGCGCGGCGCGGCAGGGGGCGCTGTGGCCGGGCTCGGGCGGCGGCGGCGGCAGTTCCGGGGCGGCGCGGCAGGGGGCGCTGCGCGCGGACCCCGGGCGGCGGCGGCGGCGGCGGCGGCGGCGGCGGCGGCGCGGCGCGAGGCGGAGGCCGGAGGAGGCGGGGGCGGCGGCCGCGGGGGGCGGGGAGGCGCGCGCGAGCGGGAGGCGGCGGCGGCGGCGGCGCGGTGGCGGCGGCGAGACACAGGCTCGGAGGCTCCGGCGAGCGACGAGCGAGCGACGCGCGACCAGCGAGCCCGGCAGGGAGGCGGGAGGGAGGGAGCGAGCGACGCCGCGCGCCCGCCCGCCGCGAGCAGCAGCAGCCGCCGCGCCGCCCGCGCAATCCGCCGCCATCCCGCCGGCCCCGCGCCCGCCCGCCGCCCGCCCGCCGCCGCCCGGCCCCGCCGCGCCCGCCGCACACACCAGGTGGGCCCGGGGCGCGGGCGGCGCGGGCGGGCGGGCGCGGGCGGCGCGGGGCGGCGGCGGCGGCGGCCGCTAAGATGGAGGCGCCGCGGCCCGGCCCGGCTTTGTCTGAGGCGCCGCCGCCTGACTGACAGCGCCGGGCGCCGCGGCCCGGCCCGACCTTTGTCCGCCGCCGCGGCCCGCCCCGCGCCGACGCCGGGGCCTCCGGGGGCCGCTCGGGGCCGGGCCGGGCCGGGCCGGGGGTCGGGGGGGCGCGGGCCCGGCGTCCCCTCGGGGTCCTCCAGCCTCCCCTCAGGCTCCCCTCAGGCTCCCCTCAGGCCCGGGGGTCCCCTCGGCCACCCCCGGGGCCGCGGCCTCTCGCCATTGTTGTGGCGGCGCCGCGCGGCCTGGCGGGCGGGTCGCGGCCGCCCCCCGCGCCCCCGCGCGCTCGCGGTCCCCCCTCCCCGCCCCCCCCCCCGGGCCCGGCCGTTTCGGGGCGCGGACCCCGCGCCGCCGAGCGGGATGCGGCCGAGCGGGTCGGGGGCTCCCGGCCGCCCCCGGTGCCCGCAGGCGCTGCCCCGCGCGGTGGGGGTCGTCGGCCCCGCGGCCAGGCCCGGACGGGGTGAGCGTGAGGGGCGCGGCCGGGGAGGGGGCTGGGTGGGCCGCGCCGGGCCCGGGGCTCCCGTGTGCCTCCCGCCCGTCCTCCGGGGAGCGGTTTCTGCCGGCCGAGGGGACGCTGGCCGGCCGGGCGGGCGGGTGCGGGGGAGACTCGGCTTCTGGCGCGACCCCCGGCCCGGGAAACGGACCGCGGCGGCGCGCGGGGCCGGCCGGGGCCCGGGGCCCAGCTCGGGCCTGGGACGCGGTCGGCGGGCGCTCGACCCGGCGTCTCTGCCGTTCCGGGGAGGCCCAGGATGCAAGTTTGTCACCTGTGGTGCCACCCGCAGGGCCCGGGGGTGCCCCAGATGCTGGGGTGCGGGTGGGGGCCGCAGGAGTGGGCGGGCCCTTAGCCGCGGGGGCCAGGCGCGTGTGGTGGTCGCCTCCTCTGGATTAGGAGGACTCCCCCCCCCAACTGCTGTCCAACCGGGGTTCCCGCACCAGGCCCCCAGCACAAGCACAAGCAGCAGAGGCCCAAGGGCGCCTGCTTCGGAGGGTGGTCGCTCCCCGCGGCTGCTCCGCGTTCCGGTGGCCCCATGTGAGCCTCCTGCCTTGGCTCCAGCGTCTCTAAAATGGGCGTGATGACCCGTCGTGGTGGTCGTCTGTGGGGGCTCGGAGTGGGGAGGCCCAGGTCCGAGTGGGCACATCTGACTGGTCTGCCCAGGGCTGCGAGCTTGGGCTGGTTTGTGATGGTTGTCTGCTTTTCGGCTTCCTTTTTTGTTTTTGATTCCTGCCTTGGCTGTTTTTTTTTTTTTTTCCTTTTTTCTCTTTTCCTCTTTCCTATTCTGGTGGATGAAATTTGAAGTTGTGAACCCCACCCCTGCCCAGTTCTGTTCTCAGTAATGTTACCTGCCTCTCAAGCTCGGGAGCCTTGGAAAGGCCTGCCTGGGGCTGGCTCCGTTCTGGAGGCGGTTCTGAGACTCTCGGGGACGGGTCCTGGGGGCTCAGTTGGAGTCACAGGTGAGGACGGGCAGGCACTGCTGGCCCCCACCTTGCATGCATTTGCAGATGACCGTGTGCGTCTCCCGACCCCGGACACAGCCTTCCTTCCCACAGCCCTCGTTGCTGTGGATTGAGCGAGCGCTCCTTAGCATGGCAGGCTCCTCGGCTTCCTCTTCCTTGCAGAGATTTCACTCCGCCTGGGCGGCAGTTCAGGGAGAGGCAGGCCCCCTCCCCCGCTTGGCTTACCTGTGGCGGCCTGTGTCCACCAGCTCCCCCCGTGCTGGCTGTAGTGGCCTCAGCTTGTCTGGGGCCTGGGGAGAGAAGGGCCCAGAGAGTGGAATTTCAGGAATGGCAAGTCCCAACTCGTCCCAGCTTGCTAGCAGCTGGGCGCTTGGCCCTGGGAGCTTTGTTGCTGCCTTTGCTGGGCCCTGGCCACCCTCCCCCACCGCCTTTAGCTTTCATTCTCTCTCTTTTTCTTTTTTTCCGGAGGGTTGTTTTATGGTGCTTTCAGGTTTTCTTCTGCCTCACACGGAGTACTGACTCACGTCGCTAATGGCAGCGAGCCGGTTCTGTCTCATTCTGCTGGGGAAGGTGCGGGGCCTCTCGAAGTCCGTTTCTATTTCAGGCCCCGATAGGCCAGTTCATGTATTTCTAAACTTGACAATGAGGCTTGTCCACGGTTAAGCATGGGGATCTTGTTATGGATGGGCAGGCAGGGCAGATCTGAAAATGGGGTGCCTTTCCCCCTGAAAGAGAAAGTTTCCAGCAGGGAGCTGCGGGCCTTTGTCTTGTCCAGAGGCTTCTGTTTCAGGCAGGGCTGACTGGATTGTCTTCAAGTCCTAGGTAGAGTCTGTCAGGAGTCTCTTCATTTGACAGCAGGAAGGCCCTCCCCACCTTTGGTATGCGCTTAGACTCCTCTGCTGGGGCTTTGAGTTGAGATGCGTTGTTCTTTTGTTTTCATTTTTTGGTGTGTTTTGGCCACACCCAGCAATGCTCAGAGGTTACTCCTGTCTCTGCACTTCGGAATTACTCCTGGTGTTGCTGGGAGATCCTGTGGGCTGCGTGCAAAGCAGACTCCTTCCCCTTCCTTCCCCTCTGTACCATTGCTTGGGCCTGTGAGGGTCTGTTTTGGGGGCCAGACTGCCTAGCTGGCAGCCTGTGGGCTTGGGCTTGGCTCCTGGCAGTGGGTGGCCCCTGGAAAGTGGCTCTGGGGTGGAGGTGGCCTAGTACCTGAGCAGGAAGGTTTGGCCGGACTTGTTGATTTCCCTGTGGCTTCAGCTGAGCGCATGTGCTCTCACACTGGCAGCAAGGTGGGGAGGAAATTTTGCATTTGCTGGGTGGTGTCTGGGCACAGGAAGTTGTCCCCTCAGAGTTGCAGGGGAAGACCCTCCCGCCCCCGCCACACCCCCACTTTAGTTAGCTGCACAACCTCCCCTCTCCTTCCTCCGGAGAAAGCTGCAGGGCTGTTGGGTCAGTGTTGCGTGTTGTGGGCTTGAGTTTAGTGCTCTGGATCCATCATGCACAGTATATGATTCTCTCGTGAGCAGCTCCTGTGGCAAGGCCTTGTGAGGGGCTGTAAGGACACCCCCACCCCATTCATGAACAGATGTTTCCACTACAAGAGCATGGAGACCACTGAAGAGGGCAAAGTGAGCCCTGATTTCCGGCTGTGCCCCTCTGGGAGACCAGGCGCCAGGATAGGCAAGAGGAGGCGCTCTGGCCTCTGATGCCTCTGAGACTTTCTTGTTTCAGAATTGGGACATTGTGTGTAATTTGTAGTTTGTTTTTCTCAATGTTACAGTGTATTTCTCTTTCCTTGAAACAAGTTTTATGTAATTACATAATTGCCTTCATTGCCGGGAGGGGATATGTTTCTTTAGTGTTAGAGGTTTACATGTTACCCATTTCCCCTTCTTTCTTTTCTTTTTTTTTTTTTGGGGGGGGGTCACTCCCAGCAATGCTCTGGGGTTTCTCCTGGTCTACACTCAGGAATTCTCCTGGCAGTGCTCAGGGCACAGTATGAGATGCTGGAGATCAAACCCAGTCAGCTGTGTGCAAGGCCAACGCCTGGCCTTCCCTGCTGTACTATCACTCTGGCCCCCACTCCCTCTTGTTACGAATAAGCAACACCTGAGAAGGATCCTTTTGCGAAATCCATGGCTTTCCTCGCCATAGGATTTCTGGGTGCTTTGGCAGAAAGAACCACTCCTCTCCCCAGTGTGGTGAACTCGGCGCCAGGACCTCATCCGAGCCAGGCTCTGGTTACGCGTAGGTCTGGACAAGCGTCTTCATTATTATTCTGGGAACACAGAAGTGGATGCCCTACTCGTGTGTGTTGGGATTTCAGTGATCCAGTGGGGAGAACGGGAGACCTTAGCGAGGCCTGAGGGACCTTTCTGCTGACTTCACCAACCCTCCACCCCCTCCGGTGGTTTACTTTGTAACTTTAGTTTTTTTGGTTTATTTTTTAGCAGATTGTTGAAAGGCATGTGTAACAAAAATGTATCATTTTCTGTGTACAGTTCAGTGGCATTTAAGTACACTCAGTACTATTCAGTCCTTTCCAGAACATGCTCTTTGTCCAGAACTGAAACCCAGTTTTTTGTTTGTGTTGGGACCACACCTGCGCTATCAGGACTTGCTCCTGGTGGTGCTCAGGGGTCTTACGGGGTGCCAGCGCATGCGAGGCAAGGTCCTTACCCTCTGTACTACTGCTTTGGCCCCCAAGAACTGAAACTACTGGCTAAGCATTGACTCCACACTTGCCCTCCCCAGCTCCTGGCAGCCCTCATTCTACTTCCCTGTTTCTGAGTTTGCTTCTCTAGATACCTTGAAGTAGTAGAATGTTCCAGTGTTTGTCCTTTTGTGTCTGACTTATTTTCACTTGGCAAGTTTTGAAGGTTGAGTTTTGTTTTTAATTATTGAATCATCTTCCCCCGCCCCCCATGGAGCGGGAACGCCCAGAAGTTCTGTTGCTTTGTATCCTGTGTCCGACCCAGAGGGCATGGTCTGGGCTCCAGGGAGGCTTGGGCCGTGGCAGGGAAGGCCTGGAGAATGGAGACAGCACAGCACTGAGGAGACAGATCTTGCCCTGACCCGCCCAGCTTCCCTCCCCAGCACCACATGGTCCCCCAGGTCATCCCCACGCAGCTCTACCTCCTCAAGCCCTTGCATTGAGTCGCTGGCCTTGTTGGCTGAGAATTTCTGGGAGGGGTTCCCCAGGCCTTCTGAAGCCACAGAACAACCCCCACCTCCCCCCAAAAAAGACTTTCTAACCTCACCGCCCTCTTCCCCCCGCCCCCACACGAAGAAAATGTAGCAAATTGAAATAAGTTGCAAACCTTGGAACACTGCAGACTTGGCTCTGAGCTGAACCCAGAATTGTTTGGGCCCCAGAGAGAGCCAGTGGGTAGGTTTGCTCCAGGGCA